GAGAGAGAGAGAGAGAGGTGAATGTGGGTCATGCGAATAACCTTTTGGATTGGCAGCAATCGTTCCGCTCCTTCAAAATCGATCGCGCTTCTCTATCAACGACAGATGAGCGTGAGTTTGAAATCGGCTATCTTGAAATACGCGTAATGCGCGCCGAAAATTCGTGATTTGTATGCGTTTGTGAAAGCACGATAATTGGTTTTCATCTCGACGAATTTTCACGCAAAACAAAATTGGTCGACACGTTTTACTTTTATGTAATAAAGAATAAACGTTATCGATACACAAGGTTCGTAATTATTCGTAATTTTTGAAAGATTGGAAAAAAATCACGTGTAAACTTTGAAACTACTGCAGATGTGCGAGCAAATAGAATTCCGCATTAACCAAACGATTTAAAGCTCCCCATTTCTCGATCTTGTTTTATTTTTACGAAATTATTTATGAAATTACGTATTTCAACATTCCCTTCAATGTCTTTTTAACACGCGATGCTTCATTCGTCGCACAATTGTTGTCGTTTGTTCCAGGATGAAATATCCATTCCAAATCTATAAAACTCCTTTATATTCGTTGCAATGTATACGAGGGGAAAAAATTTTCAAAGCGATTCATCGGTTCTATTCCATTTCAATTTCGTTTTTTTTTTTTATATCGATGCCAATTTTTACCACGCCAACATTCAACGTATGTTCTCCAATTTCGAAACACGATTTCTATTATGCGCGGTATATTTTTTTTTTTTTTTGATATTCGATACTCGATTACTCGAAACTTCGTATAGAAGGATGCAAAATTTGCAAAGTGTGCTCTAGAGATGCTTAAAAACAGTCGATATTTTTTTAATATTCGATATCATTTATTCAACGTCGAAATGTTTATTCGAATTTTTTAATTATTAATTATTCGATTTATTCAAAGAGATGCAAAATCTTTACATATAGTGTATTCTAGCGGGAAAGTAGTTAAAACGGTCGATAACTATTTGTATATTTTTTTAATATTCGATAAACTATTTATTCAAAAGATTGCAAAAAATCTTTGCATTCGAAGTAAAATGTATTCTAGGAGAAAGATGCTTTAAAGCAATCGGTAAACTCAACTATATTCGAGACATTTTCCCGCTCGTTTTTATTGCTGGATTCATCGCGTTCCATCCCGTCGATACATCTCACAGAAGCGTATACCAATCCACAATTGACAAAGAATACATGAAACGGTAGACCAAAAGTGGTTCGTGTCACGGCTAAAAGTACCGAGAAGGAGAAACACTCGATCGAAAGAATAATGCGAAATAATGTGCGCTGAACCTTCCATATTTTTCGTTTCGACAATAAGCATTTCATTTACACGAGCGATCGTAAATTTTATTTTCTCGAGATAGAATAAATAGAAATAAATGTTTAGTATCCGCTCAGCCGAAATTTTTACTTCAAATTTATCATTTCGGGATTTTTTTGGATCATTGAAACCGAAAATCATGGACATTTTTCACGGAAATGAATGATTTTTAAATAAATAAAAAATAATTTTCGAAATAAATCTCGAGAATAATATTATTACGGTTGATGTAAATCCTTCGTCGTAATGTTTAAATGCGTCTGAATAATTCGTTAGTTTATAATGTTTGTAATTTAATTTAACCATTGCTAATTCAATTAAAAGTTATTTTATTTTTTAAATTGTTTTACAAATTTTTCATCGGCTTATGTTGAAAGCATTCAAGATATTTTAAAAATAAAATGATTATTATTTTCGAATTCAGCGACCCAAAAAAATTTAAATCAAAATTTAGCTTGAACGATACTACAATATATGCAAATGTTTTTATCCCTTCGAATGAATTTGCGAATAAAATGGAAATTATAAGAAATAATATTTCAATTATATTTTATTAGTTAAATTTCAATTTATACGAAATTTGTCATTTTGTATTTACTACTTTGAAGAGTGGAATCTAAAAATATATTTAGATGGATAAGATAAAATAAAATTAAAAAATTATAAAATAATAAATCAATCATTTAAAGTTTAATAAATTATAATTGGCCGTAAAATTGAAAGATTATTTTTATTGCAACTATCTAAATCCAATTAAGAACTCATATTACATTCAAAAAAGAAGTTATCAATCGTTCGACGAAACAAAGAAAAAAATATAAAATATCATTTTCATTCGCCATGATCAGTCATCGACCGAAGTACTTAAATACATTATAGTGTTTATATTCACGTATTTATTACAGAGATCTTTAACCTGCCCTTTGCTTTAATCTGAAGAAAGGGAATAAAGGGAAGACTGCTTGATGAAGAGCAATTTCATCTTCTCGTTGCGTCAGAATACGATTGAGATTTATTTACATTAAACAGCAAAAAAATAAGAATATGTTATTGTTAATAATAACCAAATAGCCTATAAAATACTTTCTTTTCTTTTCATAATTATATATAAATATATTTTTGATAAAGTATAATCTTATGTTAGATTAGTTTTTATAAGAAAAATTGAATTTTTAATAATTAAATTAATTTTAATCATTGTAAATATATAATTTAACTTTTTAGTAATTTAATTGGATCGTAAAAATAAAAAAAATATAGAAAATTTAAAAAATATTTTACTATTTTTACATAAATTAATATTTTATGAATTAACTATTACGATCTAAAAATATTTACAATCAAGATAGCAATGATTTCTGCCTAATTTTCAATCTCTACAATGATAACACATAAACCTATTTCATTTAATTAGTTCCATTCTACGAAGCGTATTGACGGATATTCTCTGTCTGCGGTTTATACACTGTTTTTGCATACTCTTTCTTGCGTATTCGAACTCTACAAACATAACCTGTTGCGAAAATCCATATACTACACATACCAATGCTTTTCTATACAAACGCAAGCTGGCAAACAAATTTGACCTATAATATAATATAATCAACTAGTAAAAACAGAACGTAAAATGGAAAGAATATTTTTGAATAAGGAAAATACGGAAAATATATATATTATAAAATATATATATATATAATCTTATATAGATTCACTTCAAACAAATATATACATTTCCTATTGATTAAATAAAATTCTTATTAATATCAAAAAAAAGATTAAATAAAAATGTGATAAAATAAGAAGATATGTATCTGATCATTGAAATCATGATATGATCATGATATTTACAATCAATAAGTTAAAAATATTAAAAATTCGTAATTAAATTTGTGTTTCAGATACTCAACGAAAGATGAAAAGAAAGGGACATACATACTGCGCCATATATAATCGACAACACACTATGATAAATTTTACGTAAAACGCTAACATAATTTTTAAAAATTCACAAGACCGTATCTTCTATTTATAATTGTTTAGTATTTTAATATTAGTTTCTTTATCCATTATTTCCAAAAATTCAATTCGACAAAATTCATATTGTCAATTTTGACAAAATTTTGTATATATATGATTTAATGAATGATTTTTAACGTTCGTTTATCTATATATTCGCGAACAAGCAAAAAGATTTAAAAAAGCCGGTATAGCAAGGTAAATAGCGAAGCGATTAAATCGTAAATTCTTCTGATAGTTACTCAACAAACAAATAAAAATATGAGAAAACTATATTTATATGACCACATACCTGATTTTTCTCAAGCTTCAGCTTTTGTGGAGAAATAATTCAACGAACGAACGGTGCCGATGTTTCACGCCATGGATCCCTTCTGCAAAATGCTTCACTCACAAGCCGTGTGACACAGGAAAAAAGATATCACCTCTTTCTCCTCTTCTGTTTAAGCCAATTTTCCAGACAACTGGCCTCACTATTGAGATCGTTACATTTTCGCGTGCGAGATTCTATATTTATGATTTTTCGATGCGGCGTCTCTGCTACTTGTAGAAATGGTACGTGGCGACCCGGCCGGACGCGAACGAGACCCACTTCTCTCTTTCTTCCTTCTTTTTCTTTTTCGCTACTAGAGACGCGCACACTCCAGTATGAAAGCTCGTTGACGAGTAAAAGCCCAACCGCGGCTTCGATGATCGAGCCAGGATACACCTTTCGAAAGCACCGCGCAAGCTCAGACTGTTCGTATGGAATCTGGTCCCCATAGTCGTGTTAAGGGTCGTGTTTTCTCGGCTATGTTCGGCCACCAATGGTAAACTCGACCTGCAAAACGTTTCGCATGAGTAGGGCAGACTTGTGCTTTGTTATGATTACACATTGACGCAAAGAAAAAGAAAAATGTTATGGGATACTTTTAGAAATTCTCAAGAAATCCATAACAAGAATATGATATTAATAGTATTACAATCGTATTATCCTAAAAATTGCATTTTGACAAAATTGCTAATTTGTAAATAGAATTTATGATTATGAATAATATGTAATACGGTCTATTAGATATAAATGTTCATTTGCATTTGATATTTGAATAATGAATATTAGATTAATTTGATATATTTGATATTGATATATTTGATGTGATATATAATTTATTTAAGTACAATGATTCGATGATATATCAAATTAAATTTATATATTTGAAATAATAACAGGAAAGATATTGATTTTTTACAAAATTAATTGAATGAAGGATTTTAATAATACGATAGCTTCATATAAAATCTAATTTATTCTTATTTGAAAAAAGAAAAATATGAATAACAAAAACTATAATTATTAATTACTAGATAAAATAAATAAAGATTGAATTATTATAAATTAGAAACTTTATATTATATTTCTGAAGTAAATTGAAATTTTTTTAATAACGGCATTAGAGTATGTATGTTTCGATAAAACATTTCGATATTATTAATAGTATCTTTCGAGTATCGATATGATATCGATAGAATTGCGATATATCGATTGCTTCATAATCAAATATAGTTATCGATAATACTGTGTATTTAATCTATTAGAATATATAAAGTTAACTGGGAATGTAAAAATTGATGTGCATATTATTATATAATAAAATATATTTGAAATAAATTTTCTATATTATCAAATATGGACGAAATCGATAATCCTCCAACTGTAGTAAGCAATAAAACATAGTGTTATGTTAATTTATACTTAACCTATATTCTCTTTAATATTATTTAATTTTTATTATTTTCAAAAATAAAATCATGTCATAAATTGCAAACAATATTTTTTATAAAAAAGAGACATGATAATATTTTTATAATTCTATTTTATATTTTGATTATTATACAAATATATTTAAATTAAACTATATCATTTTATCCGATACAGTTTCTTAATTAAATAATAAATAAATACAATAATTTATATTATATTTTTAAAAATATATTTAAAAAAATATTTTTTATTTCTAGGATATTCCAAATGTTTCTAAAGATCATCTTATTGCTGGAAGATGGATAAATAGTAGTAGAATCAGTATATATACTACTAAAATTACAAAAGAAAAAAGTTCAAAGAAATATGACTCAACAGTACATATGTTAAAACCAGAAGTAATTTTATTTTCACCACAATTACGTAAACTAGTAAATGAAAGTAATGGTGTCTTTTTATCCATTAAAAAACTTAAATCTTTTTCTGGGGATATTAGACTTGAACTTTTGAAACACAGTAAACAATACAGATCTATTTTGAGAGCATGTATAGAGAGTTTGCAAGATATATGTGGAAAATGTCTTTCTGAAAAGAGAGAATCACTAGAAAATTTCTTGACCATTTTTTATCAAATAGAATGTGTATGGCACTTAGTTGAAATTCTTTACGTAGATGTCATACCAGGTAAATTATATTAAAAATAAAAAATGCGTAACATATTTATATCAAAAAATTCTAATATATAATATTTTGAATTTAGGTGATGTAGTTTTACCACAATTGTTAGAATGGATTAGATTTCATTTTCCATCTAGAGAACTTATAGCAGTTAAAATATTAGCTCAAAAAACTATTGGTGCTGATTTGGAATATCCAAATTATTGGGAAGTTGTAATAGGTTGTGCATTACATGGAAAATTAGATTTAGTAAGAGCTTTATTAGCATTACATAGTAAAGCAGATCATCCTGCTTTTGTAATGGCAGAAAATGCTCTTAAAACTATGCCTGTGTATAATGTATATGGTGGTTACTCTATAAATGAATTTACTTTATGTTGGAAACATTGGCAATTAGATTTATGTTCAAATTTAAATAGTAAAGCTTTTGTTATTGATACTAATTTAGAAATGGTTATGAAGGTATTTATACATATAATATATTATAATATATAATATTAAAATGCATATATATTTATGAATAAAATTCTCAATAGTTATTTTCAGATATATTTATAATATTTATAAATATAATAAAATAATAAATTTAAAAAAAATAAAATAATAAATTTAATAAAATTATTAAAAACATTTAATATAGTTAATTGCAGGAGAACAAGATATACTGTGGCAATTTTCACAATATACAGATGCTTGGTACGAATTGTTGGCAGCAAAATTATTTTATACTTCTCCATGTTGTAAACAACCTGAGCTTTCTCATCATGCTAATAATATTTCTAAAAGATGGCAAGCTAATAGACCTTCTGATAATGCTATACGTGCTTTGATGGAAAGTAACTTACATCTTGTTATTAAAGAAATACAATATATGGGAGATAATGGATGGTTCGCTGCTCATTTGGTAGATTTATTGTATATCTGTGGGAAGCTTAAAATATTAGATGAAGATCAAATAGAGTAAGTTATTTTATAATTTATATTATATTTAATAAATCTTGATAAAATAACTTTTATTTTTTAAGAGTCAGTAATCAACTTCATGAATCTCTTATATTGGAATATGGTAACACATTAATGGGACATCATTCTTTATGGCAATGTGGTGCAAGTTATTTGATACATTGTCCTATTCAAGGCTTGGCTAGATTAGAGATATTGTTACAATCATTACCAATGGGGTCAGAAGCAAGAGTAAATAAGATTCTAGACATAGCACGAGATAATAAAATGAATCATATAGGTTAGTATTATTTTTAAAAGTATTATTTAATCTAATATAAAATATATATATATTGGTTATTTAAAAAATATATATATTTTTTTTTTAGTCACTAGTATTTGTAAAATTCAAGGACTAAAATCTATGAAACAAGGAAGATTAGGAAATGCACTTGCATGGGCTTTAAAAGCTCAAGATAGTATTTTTATAACATATATTGCAGATCAGTTTTTAAAACGTTATGTAGAATATGGAAAATTGGATTGTCGTGATCTATTAGAAAATTTAGGTTTTTGTATGATGGCTAGTGATAGGCTAACATTTTTAGGTAAATCAATTTTAAAATATTAAAATTATAAGCAACTTTTAAGAATGTCTATTATAATTTTTATTATTTTTTATAATTAGGAAAATATTGTGAATTTCATCAAATGTATGGTATTGGAGAATTTAAAGAAGCAGCAAGTTTATTAGTGTCTCTTTTGGTTTCAAATTTAACACCGAAATAGTAGGTTTTAAATATAAATATTTTTAAATTTAATTAAAAGCTATATTTGAGAATATTTGTTTCAGTTTTTGGTCGATACTTTTATCAGATGCTATTCCATTATTGGAAGCCAAGGATGTAATTTTGTCTTCCAATGATTGTTATGAATTATTACGATGTGTAGAAGCGCATGGCGATGATCCGAAATTTCAAAATGAAATTGATATCTTCCGATTAGCTGTTGCTAGAAATCTAGCACGAGCATTGAGTCTTGAAGGCTGTCAAATGAAACATTAAAATGTTTATTATCAATTTATAATGTAAGAATTTTCTAATTTTTTAATTAAAAAAATCTTCGTATATAATCTTAGTATATCCATTAAAGCACAAATACACATATATCTTTTTTATGTATATATATTGATTTAAAAATTTCTAACTATATATATTTTATTATCATTAATATATATTCAAATATAAAAATCTTGAATACTTACAAGATATGCACATAAAAATTTATTAGTTATAATACATATAATATTGAGACCAAGGTCTATTTATATTTATAATTAATAATTAAAATTTTTCAATTAAAAATTAAATAAAAAAAATTAGATTTTACATACATTTTTTAAGATAAATGTAACATTAAATAATATTTATAAATTATACATTATAATGAAAATTTTTTATTTTTTGATAATTTTTCCACAATGTATTCTTAGCAAATATATTAAAATTTTAATATTTGTTATTATAATCTTTTAACATAAATAAATTTTTACACACATTTAAATATTTATTACAATGTTTTTTATTTTTAAATTAAAATATATTAATTTTTAAAAAAATATATAATTTTAAAAATATATAAAATATTATTATTATAAACAATTAATCAAAAAAATTGTTTACTCCATTTATAATTAAATCTAAAATGAAATATTTTTGTAATATAACATCAGTAATATCATATTATAATAAAATCAAATGAAGAGAAAGGTCAGTAATCACATTATGTAATGAGAAAGATAATATTACAGACAAGAAATAACATAGATCTATCATTTAATTTTATAACTATTGTAAATAATTATAATTATTTTTATATCTATTATTTTTAAAAAATTTTTTCTTTAAAAAAATTCAAAATAAAACATTTTATAAATTTATTTAATGAAAATATCATTGCATTTTTTAAAATTAACATGAAATGAAAAATAAATGCAAAATGAACAAATTTATGTAAGTATGTAAATGTATTTCTTATTTATGGAAAAAGCAAAAAATTCAAAATAGAATATTGACAACAAATTTTTATATATACTTATATTATTTTAATATATATCATTTATTAATATATCAATATTTGTTTTAATATCATATATATATATATATATATATATATATATATGTATATCATGA